TACCTTCGGGAAAGATCAAAGCTTTTAAAGTGAGCCAAGTCTGTCCCTACAACCAGGAAATTTCCACAGATGTCAAAGAAGCATGGGTTTCCCTCCATCTTGGAGAACAGCAGGAGTTGTTTCACAGTCCCCTGAGGAAACAGAAGAAGCAGGGAATTCAGGGGAGCATTATTTAGAGGGCCCTGCACTCTGCTGGATTCCCACACCACACGGGGAAGACAGGGCCCTGCCCTTGGAGGATCCCTGGTTCTGACAGTCAGAGAGAGAGACAGCAGGCAGGTGAATAAGCAGGTACCCACATGACTCCACCTGAGCAAGTGTAGACAAGTGATGGACAGGATGCTAAAACAAAAACTACCAAGGGCAGTGAGATGGGGAATTCCATCCACTTGTGTTGGTTCCAAAGGGCTGCCTGAGAGGTCTTATATTAACTTCCCTGATAAAACGGACTTTGCTGCTTGCGTGTCTAAGTGGTCACCTTTCGGGGAGGCCATGAGTGAAAGGGATGGTGATCACATTACAGGTACGTTCCACCTGTGAAAACTCACTGAGCTGTATGCATGACATGCCTGCTTTCCTGTGTGTACATCATGCTTCAATAAATGCTTGAGAAATGGGTCTTGTCTAGGGGGCAATACACGAACTGAGACTGGGGAGAAGGAAACAGTGATCTGGAGAGCCGAGCCTGGCATTGCAGGAAGGAACGCATGGGGGCCAAGGGGCGTGCACTGAGGTGGGCAGTAAGCAGAGGCCACGTGGGGCGCCAGCGCAGGCCAGGTAAAGGGTCAGATTTTATTCTATGTGAAGCTGGACAACTAGAGGGTTTTGAGCCACAAGTGATTTCAAATCATTTATGTTTCAAAGTGTCGCCCCCACCTCAGCTCCCACGTCTCTGTGGGTCACTGTGTTAGACAGCAGGAAGCACGGGAAAGAGTGGAGCTCTGCGCCTCCCCTGGAAGGCAGCCCGAAGAGAACTTCAAAGTGCACGACGGCTGTCTCACTGCCACACACACCAGCAACAACCGCAGTTTGCGTGTCCCGGCCGCATGGGCAGGGAGAAAGGTCTGGAGACACACTCCAGCTTTCCAACCAGAGGAGCGTTGCTAACTGATTCCTTACACAGGCTGCCTTATTTCACTAGTTACAATGGACACATATTCCTTTAGTTAAAAATTAACAAAAAAGATTCAACTTCAGGTCATCTGCAGTCAGATGCTCCTCATTCCCCTCCGTGGTTCCTATCAGGCCTCTTGCTCCTTCCCAGCAGGCTTCTTATTCTTTCCTAGTATGCCCTTTGCCCCTTCCCAGAAAGCTGTTGACCCTTCCCAGCAGGCTTTTCACTTTCCCAGTAGCCTTTCACTCCTTTCCAGCAGGCTCCTTGCCCCTTCCCAGCATGCTGTTCACTCCGTCCCACTATGCCTTTCACTTCCTCCCAGCAGGCCTTTGGCTCTTTCCCAGTATTCCTTTCCCTCCTTCCCAACATGCCTTTCATCCTTTCCTACTATGCCTTTTGCCCCTTCCCAGCAGGATTTCCACATTCCCAGAATGCCTTTTGCTCCTTCCCGGCAGGCCTTTCATTCCCTCCCAGTATCCTGTCCACCCCTTCCCAGAGGTCCATTCTTTCTTTCCCACTATGCCTTTCCCTCCTTCCCAGCAGACCTTTCACTCCCTCCCAGCATGATCTTCATTCTTTCCCACTATGCCTGTGTGACCGTTCCCAGTAGGCCTTTCATTCTTTCCCACAATGTCCTTTTGCACCTTCCCAGCAAGCCGTTCACCCTTCCCCAACATGCCTTTCACTTCCTCTCAGGCCCTTCTTTCCCAGCATGCCTTTCACCCTCTCCCAGCAGGCCTTTCATTCAATCCCAGCATGCCTTTCACCCCTTCCCAGCAGGCTGTTTCCCCTCCCTGCATGCCTTCCACCCTCCAGCTCTCAAGTCATTCTGATTAACTCAGCTGCTTCCTTCATCTGTCATAAAGAGGGCCTCTCCCCGTCTTGGCTTTGTGTTCACAGCTGATGCCCCTACTCAACTATCAGCAGCATGCAAGGCAATCTTTTTTTGGCTGATGTCCTGCCAGGGCCATCCCTCCTTTCCTCCAGCCTCTCCCCTTCCCCTCTGACCTTGAACAGGCCAGGGAATCTCACGAGGCCCCAGCTCTCTCTGCCTGCACTTTCCCCTAGGAGATGCATGGGGCTACAGGTTGTTTCCCATGCATGGTCCAGTCTCTAGTCCAGTGCCTACCCCTGTGAAACTTCCCATCCCCCTCCCACTTTAGTGTGCTCTATTACTAGAAGTTCCTTCAAAAATTGCTGAATGGAGGAGTGGAGGAGCAGCATGTGAGGCATGAGGACATGGATGTGGCAGCCCTGGGAAATCAAACACTGGATCCTAGGAAAGAACTCAGCTGGACAAAGCAGTCACGCTGAGAGCCAAACCCAGTGCCATGACAGGTGTTCTTGACTTTGACACAGAACACTGTTGCATGTACTGGATTGAATGGTAGCCCCTGAAAGATACGTCCACCTGGATATGAATGTCACCTTATTTGGAAAAAAGGGTCTTTGCAGATGTAATTAAGTGAAGGATCTCAAAAGGAAACAACTCTAGATCAGTGTGGACCCTAAATTCAAGGACAAATGCCTTATAAGACATAGAAGACACAGACACAGGAGAAGGCCATGTAAAGATGGAGGCAGAGACTGGAGTGATATGTCTACAGGCTAAGGAATGCCAAGGATTGCCAGCAATGCCAGAAGCTGGAAGAGATATGGGACGAATTCTCCCTCAGCCTCAGAAGGAGCCAACCCTCCCACACCTGGCTTTTGGACTTCTGGTCTTCTGGACTATAAGGAAAATAAATTTCTATTATTTTAAGCCACTCAGTTTGTGGTCATTTGTTATGGCAGGCTAGGAAACTAAGACACCATGTCAGCCCTGGGGTCTCCATACCACCAGAAGGGAACAGAATGGTGTGTTAGAGTCCTGTCATCTTGGAGGCATGCACTGCTCCCAGCCTGGCCTCAACCCCAGGCATGAGCAGGGAGGGGCCTGTCCAAAGACATTATGTCCTGAACTGATGGCCCCTCAGCTCTGAAGATGCACATTAAGCACAGCAAATATTTCCTCCCACATCACAACCCCATGTACTCAAGGACCAGCAATGTAGGCCTTATCACTGCAAAAGGTCAATGGCTCACTTCCCAATTTCTGGTCATGATAGTTGTATGTGGAGCAGCTATCTGAGAATCCATCTTTACCACCAACTACCCATGGGGAGAATCTGATCTGGCTGGGTGAAGTCATTAAGCAGGTCATGGCTTGATTTAGAGATGGCATTTTAAACTCCACTCTAATTGTCTTTAGTGTCACATGCCACACACTCTAGAGGAGGAAATTTACCTGCCAGGTTCGAACTTGAACTCGGTTTGGCTCCACTGTATAAACGCTCTCTTTGTGCATGGCTAACACGGGTGACTCACACAGGAAGGTACCTAAAACGAAAGATAACACTCATGACAGCAGCAGCTAGTCTTGTCTTAGTTCCTCAGAGTTTAAGAAACATTCTCACACTAAAATTAGCACTATTTAGAGAGCAACTATTGATGAGAGAGACTGGAGCCTAGAAGAAAAGATCCACAACGAAGGATACAGTGAGACGGAGAAAAGGGGCAGAACTGTGGTTTAATCAAGAAGTGTTCTCCCATGTGTTCCTTAATTTTCCTTGGCCCCCGTGATCGCTTTGTGAGAGATGTGTTTGCTTCATCTAGCATATGAGGAAAGTGAGATGCAGTGAACTGCCCAGGGCCATGGCTGGCAGGGGCTCCCTGGTGTGGACACTCAAGTGCTGGGCTCCCTGCCCGGCCCCACTCAGTCCTGGTGTCTCCTCTTCTCTCCCATCAAGCAGCTGGTGTTTCCAACAGCACAGCGTCTGTGACAGCATAGGTACTTAAGCATCTGCTTATCTTCTGTGGAACTCTGGAGGCCACACACTCTAGTCTCTGGTTCTAGACAAGCTCTCATCTAGTTAGGAAGATGATGACACAGACAAAACAGAAAATATCTAAACACCTGCTGTGCTATCCTCTTGGGAGGGTAAGTTCATCCTTGCCCCCAGAGGTCTATGGTAGAAGAGAGGTGGAGTTGTGAATTATCAGCACAACACAGGGTAGGGTGGGAAAGGTGTTACAAGAGAACTTTAGGCAACGAAATGTTAGAGGGGGAAACAAGTGAGGGAATAATCTAAGGGAGAGAGATAATAACCATTGGAAAAACACCCCCAGGGAGGTGTGAGGTGTCCAAACAAACACGCAGGGTGATCGCCCTTGGGACAGTGCAGTGACAAGCCCCCCTGTGAGGTGAGAGGGCTGAGGGCAGGACAGGGTGAAGGTAAGAATAATGCGGAAGGAGAGCTAGCTGAGGAGCACATCCTGACGGTCACTTTGATGGGCTGGAGGACGTTCCCCAAAGAGATCAGGTCCTAATCCCAGAAACCTATGAATACTAGTTGATAAGTGGATAAAGATGTTAAGGTCTTGAGATGGTGAGATTATCTTGGATTATGCAGGTGGGCCCTAAATGAAATCACAAGAGTCTCTGTAAGAGGGAGGTAGATTGTTAGACAGGGATAATGTGACAGTGAAAGCAGAGACTGGTGGGATGTGACCCTAAGCCAAGGATTGCTGGCAGCCACCAAAAGCTGTAATAAGCAAGGAGCAGGGTCTTCCCTGGAGCCTCTGAAGCCCTGCCAACACCTCAGTTTTGGCCAGTGAAATGGATTCTGGACATCTGGCTTTGAGAACAGTGAGAGAATAGCTTTCCTAAATGGCCACCCATTTGTGGTCATTGTTACAGCAGCCCCGGAACTCATCCAGGCTTGTGCTAAAGAGCAGAAGATAAAGGCAGCTCAGTGAATCAGAGAGTTGGAGAGATGGATGGTACAGGTGAGCATCCCTGAAGATCTACCCTGAAATTTGCAGACAGAGGCTGGCCTGGTTGGAGACACTACAGGCCTGGTGGCTGAGCATGCTCTGGGAAGTTCAGATGTCAGGCGTGAGGCACCCCATACCTGGAAAGCACTGTGTTGTTCACACCCATGCCGCCTTACTTCTGAGCTGTGTGATGGCCCTAGAGCCTAGGAGGGCTGCTGGCCCCAGGTTGGGTTGCATTTCTCAACCCCCTTGACTGGCTTCTGTCAGGAGGCCTGGGAGGCCCCAGAGGCACCAAGCCAGAGCAGCAGCACTGGCTCTGGACATGCAGGCCACGAGACCCAGACACCAGGCACAAGAACTGAGATGGGGGTCTCCCTATGGCCCTGTGCCAGCCCACCCCACAGGCACCAGCACCTCCCCCCAAATTAGATGGTGAGAAAATAAAGCAGGTGCTATGAGTCCCTTCTGTGGGGGTGACAGGATTTGCACCTGCACTTCGTAACGTGGCTCCGGAAGGCTCAAAGATCATCACTTGTTTTCCATTCCAGACGGCAACTGCATCCTAAAAAGAACCATGGAAATTAAAATGCAGCCTGCCATTTGGGCCTGACCGTCCTGAATGACCCTAACAACTGGCCAGGTCTTCTGTCTGCATCAAAGACCCCTGGCCAAGCCCACAGGTCAGCCTGCACTTGCCTTGGTGGTGAATACTCCGCTGATGTGCATGTCTGTGCGCAGGCTGTGCACCACCCCCGTGGACAGAAAGGACACGCTGAGTAAGCTCGGGGAAACCTGCACCACGGCCACCTGCTGGTGGAAGTGTGAGCACATGGCCTGCTCGCTGAGGATCACCACGGAGCTGACGCTCTTCACTGCTAGAAGGTTCTTCCTGGAGCCCCACTGCATACCATGTTGGAGAGGCAGAAGCCACAGTGTGAACAGACAGGAAGAGGGTGTCGTTAGGGCGACGTTATCAATACGAGGATCATAAACCATCTCCCAAGCACTATTT